GGCATGCCAGAATTACCCAGTAACATGCGGTGATATTTCAATTTCTCAGTAGTTTCTGAACGGAAATGTATTAGACTAGTAAGTAAGAAGGAAATCCAGTTTTATCGGATGTTTTAATTGGGATATTATACATGTTTTATCCTCTTATTCCTTTTTCTAGTTTTAAGTCTAGACTTTACGATATTTGCCGAGGAAAAATCATATAGGTGATAGTACATCATTATGTAAAATATGTTTGGGGGGAATTTTCTGTTTTGGGCTGGGTTTTTTGTCTTCTCGGGGGATTACTTCTTATAAAATACACGTTTAAGACAGAAATGTTCTAAAATATAAATTAGAATTTTTGACAAATCTGTCACAAACGTGTTTAAATTTTAAAGTATATTGTTATTTAAAACAAACTGCATTGACTTTTTTTTTTTCCCCAGATGTGAAATCCTCGACTTTAAACCTTTAAACTTTTTTTTTATTCAGGAGTGCCGGGAATTAACTCTAAATTGGAAAATTTGTAAATTTCAAAACTCATGGATAACATTATAATGATATTTTAGCTGATTTTTGGTTCTTACCAGTATTGTTATTTTAGGGCACAGACCTTACATTGGGTGGTGATGTAATACATTTGTTAAGCACTGTACCTCTAGCATCCAGTAACTCACTAAGACCATTATTTTGGTACACTTTATGTCTTTTAGAGTGAATCTAGTAGTATGTGATCAAAAAAGTTTTTCAATATTAAAATGCAGATTTTATTTTGTTGTTTTACATCCAGCCTGTAAATATAAACACTGTAACTCTCCAGGCTGCAATGGAAACCCTGCCAGCCGGTTGGACAGTGTACACCTGTGAGCAGGAAAGAGCTGAGACAGGCCTGTTGAAGGGAGAATCTGATGATACTAAAGCAAACACACATGTTCAAGATCTGTTCCATGAAGATGCAAAGGCAAGATGTACAGTGTGTCAGCTCAAATGAAACAATTTGTAGGATCATTGCACAGGCTGTTGTTAAAGTGACTTCAGATAAGCCAGTGCTGCTACGGTTGTATTTCTGTGTTTAGGGATTTCAGCAGTCTAATCAGCCATGGTGGAGGATCAAAGTATTTGTGTGGGAGCCGGTGCTTTTTGGCACCTGGGATGGAGTCTTCACTACCTGCATGATCAACATCTTTGGTGTGGTTCTGTTCCTGCGTACTGGCTACCTGGTGGTTAGTAAACAGACTATCTTTCACTTTGTGTATTGTAGGTAATTGAACAGCTAATCCACTTTAAACTCTCCCCACACTAATAAAATGCTAAAAGGCTGAATTCTTTTAAATGCAACTGCCATAATGGGGCTTTAAATATGAGTCTAATAACCGTGCATGGTGGATACACTGCAGTGAAAAATGATTTTTCACTTCCTGATTTCTTATTTTTGCGTATTTGTCATGTTCAAATATTTCAGCTCAGACAAAATACCTGGGTGAAAATAAATGCAGTTCTTAAGGG